TATATGCCTTCTCTGTCATCAGTAAATGTAGATTTTTTTACCAAATTCCCTTGAATTCTGAAGATGAATTAGTAAAAATGGAAAATGTTTTAAACAATTCAATGACAGTCCTGTGATTCACATTACTGTTCTTGGGCCATATATTTTTGACTGGTGGCAATTTATTGTAAATATTGCTACCATTCCAGAGCAGGATTTTGGGCATCCATAGATAGATTTTGTTCAAAATTCGTACTTACATGGATAAACCATGTGAACTCAAATGAATGTCACAAGACAAAGAACACAGGTACATTGCTTCAACTGTCTTATGGCAATATTGTAATCACATGCACTTTTTATACCATAAACTTAAAGATGGATTATGATCAACAGACAAATTTGGGGTCTGAAATATTCTTGTTATTCTTGTTTTTAATTTTACATTAATAAGGACTCTACTGTTCATAATGAAAAGCAGAGTGAGACAGAAGATGGAGCTACTGGTGTTGACAGCGTTAGTGCAGTACAAACTAAGACAACATTGAATGATTTATTGGCCACCATTAAAATGTTAGAAGAACCAGAAATTTTACCTGAGAAAAAAGATGTGTCTAAACTAGAATGGTGTAAGTTGAATGCAAATGTGTTTGATCTTTATTGCTTTACAATTGAACTGGTTTGCCATTGAAACATTTTCTCTCTAATTGGCAAAACATTATTATGTCTTACATTGTGTATCCCTGCTTGTTTTTGAGGCTATCCAGATCGGCTGGTTGGCAACAATTTTGGTTTTGAAAACTGTTATATGAATGTGTCTGTAATATACATGCATATTAAAATCAGCAGGGGTTCAAATTTCCAGCCTGGACTAGTGGATAATCAAACTGTTTTGTCCTAAAAAAATACTGACAAGTAGACAATAAAACATTACAATTTTTACGGGTGTGATGGACTAGCCTAGTTATAAAATCAGTCCAGTAATAAAGTCTAACATCACACACATAGTACAAGCTAACTTTTAATCTGGGTTCTGTTAATGGAGCACTTTCTGTCATTTCCAATCATAGTAACAGGAACTATGGCATTGAATATGACTTGATATCATTGTATTTTTATTTTTCAGTGGACATACTAGACAAGGATGATTCTGACAATTCTGACAGAGGTTTGGAAAATAAAAAAACTGGCGAAGTTTATTTATCAACTGAAAAATTAGATCATTTTAATCAATCTGCCAAGCCGTCAAATCCGATGTCAAAGTATGGAAAGAATGCACTGTTAACAGAAGACAAACTCAGGAGTATTATGTCTTTTCTCGATGAAGTGGAGCAAGCAGATAAAGACACTGATGAAGATGACGACAAGGTAGGCACTTGGAAGATGTAACAATGTGAATTGAAGTTGATATGACAGCCAGCTGTTGTCCATCATATTTCACAAATAAAATGTCTCATTGGATGCTGTTATAATACGTTATACCACTTTTGGTCACGTGCATCATTGTTCTCGCCAACGATTTATTCTTGCAAACAGGGTGAATTTATAAGCAAATTGTAAAAAGCAACGCATTCGCAAATATGCAAAGTGTAAACAGTCGCACTTTTATTCATATGCAAAGTGTAAATGCTACACTTTGTATCAAAAGTGTAGCGTTTACAATTAACATATCAATAGAAGTGTAATCGTTTACAATTTGCATATCAAAGCGTTACCGTTTACAATTTGCATTACAAATTAAACAAAGTATATGCATTTAATCACACAAATCACAAGGAGGGTGCAAATCGCAGTAATTTAATTATACTTTCTATGGAAAAAAAGTACTACAACACTACAATTCAATATTGACACATTTGTTTCCGTCCTGGATCTTAATTTTAATTTGTTTAGAACAACAATCATTTGAACGACACATTTCTCTGAATTCTGCATGTGATGTCTCAGTCACTGGTTCAGGCGGTGG